AAGGATATAATGATGATGTGTAGTGGGAACGAGGAAAATGTGGGCGTAGCGGAAAGAGGAAAATGTGGCCGTCGAATAGCAAACGCAAACATTCATAACAGATTTGCATTTCCAGCTACGTAAAATAAAAAGTTGGCAGTAAGACTGGGATGAGCACACACCCAAGCCATAAAAGCCGGCCAGCAGGACTGGATAATAGTCAATTAGAAACACAATCTCATATTTCATACACTTCGCATACTCTTTAACGGTGGCTTCTTGTGAACTTTTAATTTTTATCACCTTCAATATGACTGCAAAATATCAAGATCTGTATGTCGCTGACAGCCTCATCATACATTGGTATAAAGGTAGCTTCAATATATACCACCATAACTGCGTTACCAGTTTAGTTACTTAGATGGACCGACGATAATTACAGACAGACATAATTACAGAGGAAGCTAATTAAGGTTTTGTCCTGTGATGCGATCATAACTGTTCCGCTATTTAAGCTATTTAAGGTTATTAAGGTCTGTTCTTTTCCGTTTCGTGTTCGATCTTCCGTGCCGATCAGTTATGTATATTTTTGATAGATGATATATAAAGTAATTCCCTTTCCCGAATCAGGGGTGATTGTTTGTTCATTGTATTTGGCATGAGTTGTTCTCCCTCTCTGCTCCCGACTACCATTTTCCATCTACCTCTTTGCTCCCAAATACCATTAATTATATCATTATGAGTACTCATTCTCAATCCCCTGAACCATCTGCCCCACTTTCCAGTCAAACCAAGCACCATGGGTCCGGGAGGCATTGGACCGATGAAGAAAGTGCTCTAATGGAAAAACATCGGGAGGAGTACAGAGACGCCAACGACGCTGCTCGTGCTGAGATATTTTCTCGAGTTTTGCAAGACATGCTCGACATACTCCCCAATGGAAAATCGTTCAAGAAGGAAGAAAGATCAGCTGTTAAAAAAGTAAGTACTTTTTCCAGGGGCCCTCTAATTGATTCCTGACGGACTTGTAGGATATTAAAGAGTGGTTTGCCCGGTACAGTCGTAAGAGAAGTCAGAAAATGCCGAGGATGGGAAAGTCGTGGCACGCCCAGCATGTGTTCCAGCATGAGAACAAGGACGCTATCGATACCGAAGCGAAAAGGCTTTGTGCCGAAGCCATTGAAGAGGGACAAAAGAGGCCTAAAGGGGGAGATCCCACTCATTTTGATTTTCGGGAGCGGGTCGTGACTCAAATGATGGGAAAACTGAAGAAAAGGGAGAAAGACGTACTGCAGAGGACGGCCGAGGAGTACAACAAGAAGGGAGTTGACCCGGAACTCAAGTCCAAGTAAGTTAATTTTCATTATTCTAACGTTGGCTTATCTGGACCTTTGGTAGACTGGCTGTAAAGAACTGCACGGCTCGGATGCATGCATTTTCCAAGGAACTTTATGACACAATGGGTGTCCGGGTCTTTATCTTAGGATGTTATCTGAAGCCCGATGGTAATTTGGACGTCTCGACGTACGACTTCAATCAAGAACTCGGGAATGGGAAAGACTTTATTGATAACCATAGCCAGACTTTCCATGAGGAAGGAATATCGGTATCTTCTTGGAGAGCACACAA